TCTCTGACACCAAAAGTTGCTCTTGTGCCCTTCTGCAGTCAACAGCCCCTCCACCCCTAATTCCTAGAAACCAATAATCTGTTTTCTGTCCCTATAGACTGCCTTTTCCAGAACGTCTTATAAATGGAATCATAAAGCATGTAGCCTTTTGTGACTGGCTTCTTTCACTCAGAGCGAGGCATGGGAGATTCATCCATACATGTTATTACGTGTATCCTTTGTTGTGCTCCTTTGTTGCAGAGTACTACTCCCCTGTACGATTACACCACAGCGTGTTTATCCAACGACCAGTAGAAGATATTTAGGCTGTTTGCAATTTTTCATAATTACGAATAAAACTTTTGCATACAAATTTTTGTGTGAATGTAAGTTTTGATTTCATTCACTTCATTTCATTTCTCTTTGGTAAATAAGTTTTCATTTCTCAGGAGTAGGACTGCTGGGTCATATGGTAAGTGTATGTTTAAATTTATTATAAACTGCAGGGGCCGACCCAGTGGCTTATTGGTTAAGTTTGTGGGCTCCACTTCAGCAGCCTGGCGTTCACTGGTCTGGATCCTGGGTGCAGACCTAGCACCGCTCATCAAGCCATACTGAGGCAGCATCCCACACAGAACAACTAGAAGGACGTACAACTAGGATATACAACTATGTAGTGGGGCTTTGGGGAGAAAAAGAAAAAAAAAAAGGAAGATTGACAACAGATGTTGGCTCTGGGCCAATCGTCCTCACCAAAAAAACCCAAAAGAAATCCTGCAGGTTTTCCAAAGTGATTATTTATACCATTTTGGATACCCACCAGAAGTGTATGAAGATTCCAAATGTTCTGTTTCATGCTTTTTGGTTTTTATAGCCATTCTGACAGGCACTAGTGGAATGTTATTGTGATTTTAATTTGCATTTTCCTAATAACTAAAGATGTTGAGCATCTTTTCATGTTTTTATTTGCCATCCACATATTTTCTCTGGTGACGTGTCTGTTCAAATCTTTTTCCTATATTTTTTAATTGGGCTGTTTATTTATTACTGAGTTTTAAAAGTTCTTTATATATTTGGGATACAAGACCTTTACCAGGCTCGTATTTTACAAATATTTTCTCCCAGTCTGTGGCTTGTCTCTTCATTTTTTTTTTTTTGTCCTGCTTTTTCTCCCCAAATCCCCCCAGTACACAGTTGTATGTTATAGTTGTGGGTCCTTCTAGTTGTGGTACGTGGGACGCCGCCTCAACGTGGCCTGACAAGCAGTGCCATGTCCGCGCCCAGGATCCGAACTAGCGAAAACCCTCAGCCATCGAAGCAGAGCACACAAGCTTAACCACTCAGCCACGGGGCCAGCACCAATCTTGTCATTTTCTTAACGGTGTCTTCCAAAGAATTTAAATTTTGAGGAAGTCCAATTTATCAATTCTTTTTCTTTTATGGCTTGTGCTTTTTGTCATATAAAAAAATCTTTGCCCAACCCAAGATCACATTTTCTATGTTTTCTTCTTCAAGTTTTATCATTTGGTCTATGATCCATTTTGAATTAATTTTTGTTTATGATGTGAGGTGTGAGTTGAGGATCTGTTTTTTCATATGGATATAAAATTATATCAGTACCATTTATTGAAGAATATCCTTTCTCCATTGAATTGCCCTTGCATCTTTATTGAAAATAAAATTGAACTTACATGTATGGATCTACTTGTAGATTCTAATATTTTCCATTGATTTATGTCTATCTTTTCACAGACAGCACACTGTCTTGAGTTCTGAAGCTTTACAGTTATTTTTCAAAACTCTTTTAGCTATTCTAGTTTCTTTGCATTTCCATATGTACTTATGAAGCAGCTTATTAATTTATACAAAATAACCATGGGGATTTTTTAATTGGGATTGCATTTAATCTACAGAACAATTTAGGATTAGTGGACATCTTAACAATATTAGGTCTTCTAATCTATGAAGACCATTTTTCTATTTATTTAAATCTTCTCTGATTTTTTTCATCATTGTTTTGTAGCGTTCAGCATACAGATCCTACAACATGTTTTCCTAGCTACATAAAGAAGTAGTTTGTGTTTCTGGTGTTACTGTACTTTAAAAAATTTCAATTTCTAATTATTCTGTGTTAGTATAAATACTATCCCAGTATTTCATGACCTTGTTAAACTCACTTATTAGTCCTGGTAGCTACTGTGTAGATTTTGGGGGATTTTCTGTGTAAAAAATAATTATACTTGCAAACAGAGACAGTATTATTTCTTCCTTTCCCATCTAAATGTCTATTGTTTCCTTTTCTTGTCTTATTGCATTGGCTAGGACCTCCAGTATGATGTGTAATAGGAGCAATGAGAGCAGGTATCCTTGCCTTGTTCCCAATGTTAGGAGGAAATCACTGTTTTACCTTCAAGTATGTTGGCCATAGTTTCTCATAGAAGTTCTTTATCAGGTTAAGGAAATTCCCTTTTAATCCTAATTTGCTCAGAGTTTTTATCATGAATAGATGCTGGATTTTGTGTACATATACTAAGATGATTACACAGCTTTTCTCCCTTATTCTGCTAATATGGTGAATTATGTTGGTTTATTTTCTAATGTTAAATCAACCTTGTATTCTGGAATAAACCCTAGTTTGTGATAATAATTGTCCTTTTAATACATTGTTGGATTCAATTTGCTAATATTTTGCAAGGATTTTTACATATATGTTCATGAGGATTTTTACATGTATGTTCTTTGGTTTTCTTTTCTTATAATGTCAATAAGCTGGGAAGTGTTCCCTTTTTGCATTTTCTGAAAGAACAGGATTGATTTCCTTTCTCAAATGTCTGCTAGGATTCCCAGTGAAGCCATCTGGGAATTTAATCTCTTTAGTAAATATAGAACTACTCAGATTTTCTATTTATTCTCATGTTAGTTTCAGAAATGTGTGTCTTTCAAGAAACATATCCATTTTATCTAAGCTATCAAGCTTACTGGCATAAAACTGTTCATAATTTTTCCTTATTATAATACCTTTTAATTTCTGTAAGGTCTGTTGTGGTATCCCTACCTTACTGAAATTTTTGTTCCTAATTCTTTTCAGCAAATTCTCTTTAGGATGCTTTTTAAGGCATAAAATTAATCATTTTCAAATCACGATAATTTTGTAGCCTTTCTTTCTGATATATATCACTTGACTCTTTTGCCTAATTATGACTAGCCCTTCAAGAGCAATGTTAAATAAAATTGTGATATTTCTATGTATTACCAGCAAAAATGAGATGGCTTTTAGTCTAATAACACACAGACACACACACAACACTCGCTCTTTTTAAAATTAGGTTAAAGAAATAACCATCTATTTGTTTTATCTGGAGCAGAAGCTGACAAACTATGACCACAGGCCAAATCTGGCCCCAAACTTGTTTTTGTAAATGCAGTTTTACTGAAGCATGGGCACACTCATTTGCTTATATATTGTCTATATGTGCTTTCATGTTACAATGGCAGAGTTGAGCAGCTGTGACAGAAACCATATGGCCCACAAAGCCTAAAATATTTACTATCTGGCCCTTTACAGAAATAATTTGGTGATCCCCTAATCTAGAGGAATTCTTTTTTTAAATCAAGAATGTATACTGGATTTTATCCAATGTCTTTTTTGGTAACTATTAAAATGAATTCACATTTTCCCCTTTAACCCATTCATATGGCAAATTATACTGACTATATATTATTACATTATATCGATTCCTAACTGCACCATCCTTGCATCCTAGAATGAGTGCACTCATTCAAGTTGTTTTATATCTGGAATTCTTTTGATACATATAATTTGGGATTTTTCAGTAATCATTATAAGTGAGATTGGTCTAATGGTTCTCTTCGCATTATCTGCTAAGTTTGTAGAAAGAACTAGAAATTCTCCTTTTGAAGTATTTCCTGATTATCCTCAGCAAATGCGGTATCCCTTCCTCTGAATTCTCAGTGCACTTCAAGCAACTATCACAAAACTTAACCATATCTGGACTATGTTACAGGCATTTAACCTCAGTTCTCCCTCCACTGCCTCAATCGAGGAAAAAAACATTTAAAAGACTATAATATATCTTCATATACTGCTGCAGTAGCCAGGAGTGTGTTTTATACTGGGCATTAAGTATTAACTAATGTTTCTAATGCCCGTTTTTTTTTCCTGAGCCTGCTAATCAGATTCCAACTTTATGCATGGTGTGTGTATATATATACACACACACATATATATATAATTTGTGTCAGTTTTTAAAGCTATTGAAATATGGTCTTTTTTTTTTTTTTTTTGAAGGAAGATTAGCCCTGAGCCAACTACTGCCAGTCCTCCTCCTTTTTGCTGAGGAAGCCTGGCCCTGAGCTAACATCCTTGCCCATCTTCCTCTACTTTATACGTGGGATGCCTACCACAGCATGGCGTGCCAAGTGGTGCCATGTCCGCACCTGGGATCCAAACTGGCGAAGCCTGGGCTGCTGAGAAGCAGAACGTGTGAACTTAACCACTGCGCCACCAGGCCAGCCCCCAAAATATAGTCATCACTTTAAGAACCAAATACCAAAGTAATTTTATAGATACACTATTTCAAAAGAAAACCAAGTGCAGGTTAATCAGTGCAGCTAAAGAGAAATATGGTTTATAGATTATATTACTTATCAGATAACATTTATATATAAGTTTCATTCACACACAAAAATTACTAATAAGTATGGTCTGGATAATTCTAGACTGATTTCTATAACTATCTAGCTATATCACTTTTGGACAAGTTATTTAATCTGTATGAGCCTAAATTTCATCATCTACGAAATGATGAATTTGATGACTCCTAGGGTCCCTTTCAGCAGTAAGTCTAAGAATCTAAGAAAACTTAGTTTTAATATTAAATCTCACGAGGTTCTCAGTCAAACAACTATCAGATCCTTTCTGATAAAGGAAAAAGGTGAGGGGAGGTTGTAAAGAAGACTCATTTTCCCTTGTTGGGTCTCAAAAAGACTTTAAAAGTTACCTCTGTTCCTGGAAGACATCTTCCTTCCTGCTGATTTCAGTGTGTCTTGGCTTCTTTTTTTCCTAGTTGCTTTGATTTGTCCTTGACCAGATGCAGAATCAGAGTCAGAAGAGTCAAGTTTGACTTGGCGATGCCTTCTTGACTTGGAAGCCTTAAGAGTTAGAAATCCAATTAACCACAACTAATCACACAATGAATCCAACTGATAGATAATTGAGGGAAAGGCAAAATACACAATCTAAGAGGAGGAAGGATTTAAGGAAATACTTATAATAAAGTACTTTACCATTATCCTGGCTTGCTTAATACCTGTCACATGTATATACTCTTTTATCTTTACAACAGGAAAAGTTCCCTGCAGCTGTCGTCACCATATACTTAAAGTGAGTTAAAATGTAGTTGTTGGGTTAAAATGTAGTTGCAGTTGAACGGCTGGGAAATGGAGGTGTAAAGACCAAGTACTCTCTTTACTGCCTAACAACCTGTTCTCCCTTTCTTCTAACAACATCTTGTTTTCCTTAGTTATCACCGTAAGTTTCTAGTGGAACTACTTTACGCCTGGCTGCAGGTATGGCCACGTGGCCCCATCTAGTCAAAACGAGTTTCACATCCCCGTGGCCACTATGATTTGCTCAGGGTGGGCATGATCTGTTTCATAGCTGATATAACTCAATGTTAGAATTTTGCTTAACTCTTAGGAAGGGAAATCCTCCCTTTCCATTGAACCCAAAGCTGGGGACATGCAAGGCTGGAGCTGTTATAAACAGCACTTGAAGCTAGTGAAAGCAACAAAAAAGGTGAGAAATGGAGGGACAGTCCAAGGACTTTTTAGTTACATCAGTCAGTGAATTCCCTTATTTGCTTAAGCAGAGTCCTGACTAACACAGTTCTCAGTTAATGTCATATATGCAGGGCAGGTATGAACAGCTGTTAAAAAGCTTCCATGTATTGTATGTTAATTACGCCTCTTTAAAGAAAAAAACCACAACTATGCAATGATACATACATATAACAATTTATGGGGATTATAATGTAATGAATTTTTTTTTTTTTAGGAAGATTAGCCCTGAGCTACCATCCGCGCCCATCTTCCTCCACTTTATATGTGGGACGCCTGCCAGAGCATGCCTTGCCAAGTGGTGCATAGGTCCACACCCGGATCCAAAACAGCAAACCCCAGGCCACCAAAGTGGAATGTACGAACTTAACCACTGCGCCACCGGGCAGGCCCAACAATTTAATGATTCTTAAAAAGTATTTCATAACGTCTTAGGATATGCATTAAACATCACTATTAGCACTATATAAAATTAGCACTATATAAAATGGAAATGGTTCTAGTTTAAAAAGCCTTTGGAATAATTTATTGTCCTTGGTGCTTTCATTCAACAATATTTTGTACTCAATTTACTGTGGTATAGCAAATATATAACACAACTAATCTATAGTCACTTTTAATTTTTTTACTTATTCTTTTTTATTTCTATAACCAGAATATGATAGTAATTTCCCACAGAATAAAATTCTTAGATTCATGCAAAGAATTCAGAAAAACATGAGATTAAGCACATAAATCTATCAGTGCTCTCTCCTGAAATCCCACTAAAATGAGAGTAAAGGAACAAAAATAAACTCACGAAATAGAGATAACAGGAAACAAAGCAGCTGTAAAGAAAAACAACAACATTGTGGAAGTGCGAGAGTGAGTGACAGCTCATTTAACAGAATGAACAGAGCTGAAATCTAATGGTCTGTATTGAGGAAGTTACTGTAAAGCAAGCTGGTCCAAGTGGATCAGGAATTGGAGTCAACAGAAATGGGACTAAAAATATGGGTAGAAATGTTGCAAATCTACAGAGGGAATAGCGTCCCTTTTCCTAGTGTCTAAACTAAACAACCGGCCCCCTCCTGTAGAGAACAGGAGGTTTGCTCTCTGGGGAAGCTAGACCAGAGAAGCTGGAGGCTTGAGGACACTGCAAGAGCTGGGGAAGGGACAGATAACGCCTGCTACTGAACATAGGGAGGTTCAGTGAAAACCTGCATAAGGAACGCTAAGCCTCTTGGCTGATTCTCTCAGGAGGCTCCCACCACTAGCAGCTTGGCTTATTTACCACTTTCCTCCCCAAGATGAGGGGATGGAAGACTACTCTCTGGTTAAAAAAATAAAAAAAAAAAAAAGCCTAGATCCAAGAGAAAGAAATACTGAGGTCAAAAAGCTGTATCTCCACATGACCAGTCTTAAATATGGTCTGAGGATCTTCAAAAATTTGTAAAAAGCCACCAAAATGAAAGAGAGAGATCAAACTAAACAAAAATAGGAGCACTGAGGAAAGAGAAGGAAACTTCAAAAAACTGTAATCAATAACCTCAAAGAGATAGATATTGCATCCAGAAAAGAAAGATAAAGAACACATTTTTTTAAGTAAGAAAAGATTCTTGGAACAAGAAAAAAATCTTAGTAACGAAAAAATGTCAGCAAAAATAAAGAATTCAATATAATGGGGGCTGGCAAAGTGGCTGAGTGGTTGAGTTCACATGCTCCACGTCAGTGGTCTAGGGTTTGCCAGTTTGGACCCTGGGCGCGGACATAGTACCACTCATCGGGCCATGCTGAGGTGGCATCCCACACAGCACAACCAGAAGGACCTACAACTAGAATATACAACCATGTACTGGGGGGCTTTGGGGAGAAGACGACGAAGGAGGGGGAAAAAAAAAAGATTGACAACATCTTCTCAAGATTAGCTCAGGTGCCAATCTCAAAAAATAAAAAAAAAAAAGATGAAATTAAAAAAAAGAATTCAATATAATGGTTCAGAAGATGAAGTCTAAGAAATCTTCCTGAAAAGAGGAAGATTGAAAACAAAAAAGAAAAATGAGAAGGAAAATTCAAGGAAAGAAAAAGAGCAAAAATGCAGTAAAGCATACTATCAAAGAAATAATACAAAAAATTTCTCAGAATTGAAGGCTATCAGATCAAAAGGACGTCCACCATGAGAGCCAAGGACAATAATGGGAAAAAGACCCGCACTCAGTTACATTATCACGAAATTTCAGAACTCCAGGGATGAAGAGAAAATCCTAAAACCTTCTCTGATGAGGAATACAAGAAGCTGGAAGACAATAAAGAAGAATGGCATCAATATTCAGGGTAAATACCAGAAGAAACAGCCAAAAGAGAAAAAGCTGAAGACGGCTGCGCCCTGAGGTCAGGAAGGCAGGGGTGGGAGGTGGTGGAGCAGGGGAGTGTTGGGCTATATAAGCCATATAGTATTACTAGACTTTTAAACTACGCACATGTTTTACTTTGATGAAAAATAAAAATGTAATTAAAAAAGCATCAAGTCAACTTCTAAATTATCTTACTAAGGAAATAACTTACCTGAACAACAACTGAAAAGGCCTTTGATTTTATTTTTGCTAATGATTCTGCCCTTTCACATCTCTGGAAGCGAAAATAAACAGGAAGGGGAAAAAATTAAAACACATAAACATTAAGTAAAATCATGAAAACCCAAGTATTTTGTTATCAGCAATAAGATTTGAGATAGAAGATAGGGTAAAAGAAACTAACATTTATTGGACACATATTGAGTAAAGACACTTAAACACACACCACATTCTCATAGCAGGTGGCATGAAACCACCCACACAGGTACTGACCATTTTCATTCAGGATTTAAGGATAATACAGACTAAAGCCCTGGTGACCAGGCCATTCCCTCCTATGCCCAAAGCAGGCTCCTTGTCTCGTCCACTAAGGTGGAGGAAAACTCTGGGGGGTGGAAGCAGTAAATAGTAGCTTCACCTCCACACAGGCTGAAAGGCTGACAGGAAGTGAGAACAGACATTACAAAGCCATTCTCCGCCCCTGTAAGGACTGATGCACCATCATCCCTCCTTTTCCCTGCTGAAAACTGTGAATATCCTCACTCGCAGTCTACACCTACTGTCTTTCACAAGGTTTCCAGTAAAGAACAGACTAGCTCTTCACAGAGCCATGTTTCAGAATTTTCTAAGATATTTATTATAATACTGACCAAGGGTCATAGTGCTTAGTATACACAATCATAGCCACACATAAAATGAAAAGAAGCTAACCAAACTACTGTCCCATAAGCAATGATACAGGGAATTTTTCTGACCTCTGATTCTTGTGAATTGCCTTCCCTCTTTTCTTCTCCATCTTTAACTTTTGATTTTAAGGATGGATTCTGAAAGAGCAAAAAAGTTATATATATACATTTACAATTCAAATTAACTAAAAATTAATTGCAAATCAATTTCAGAACAATAAGAATCATCTACTGTCAATTACTGAAAACCTACAAGACGGCTTCATGCTACTGCAGCATGGCTCACCACCTGACTCGAAGAGTAGAGATAGGGTTCAGAATAGTGCTGAAATCCATCAGTAAGATGTCTAAATCCTCCTACTAATGAAGGATGACATGCTCTTTATGTGGTAGTAAGAAAACTGGCTTATCCTCCTTTCCTTCAGGTTTCCGAAGGTCTTGATAATGCTCATTAAAGAGAGTTTATTTATTAAAAGAGAGTAGCAAAACAGATTTTTACATTAAATGCCTACGTCATTTATGTAACCGATTTGTAGCACCTAAAATATTCAAACATTCTAAAATGTGCTTTCTCTCATTAAAATAAATGTGGGCAGAAGCAGCAAATTATTCCCTTTTTCCCAAGACTGTTATCTACTCATCACCTTGTTTATCTTTTCTAAAATTAACTTTTGAGCCAGTATCCTTTTTATATAGTAGAAAGTCAAAAAGTGGCAACAAATCCTTCTAAAAGGCAATATATAAAATAACAAAACCTATCTAGCACTTGTGAAAACTCGAACACACTTTCAGACATATAGTAAGTAACTAGAAATTGCTCATTTTTCACTTTTATTTTTTCCTAGAAGTATTCACTAAAATAAGATGAAGCAGTGGTTTCAAAGGTAAATTTACCAGTGCTGGCCTTTCGGCTTCCAGAGTAAAAAAGTTTCTCTAGCTGAAAAGGTTAATGTGGAACATGGGCAGCTCCAGCATCTGTATTTGGACCAGAACACTAAACTGAAGATTTGTGTTGATGAGATTTGTAAACGGATACACCAAGGCAGATACAGCATGTGGTAAACAGAGAAGCACGTGCTGGGTCACAATGGGAGAATCACCACTCAGGTCTAGCTGTCTGCTGTCATGCAGCAAAGTGGGACCAGTGTTACCAAACCTCTGATTTTTAAGAGAAGCTGGATGTCTGGAATTTTAAGGAAAGTCCACAAATATTTAAATATTAGTAATTAATTCAAATTTTTAAAACAACATTAGGATCAACCCGTGCCAAACAAAGTCCATCTGTGCGTAGGATTTGGCCCAAGGACTGCCAGTGTGCAACCTCTGGAAAATACTAAATTATAAAGATTGTAATAAATCTGTGGTATGCCAAGATACTTATCCCTCTATAACTATATATATAAAATATTTGTTATATATTATATAATTATAATTGTCTAATTATATATATAACCATATATAAAATCAGACTGCACAGTTAAATAAGATCCCATAGCTAACAAGCGGCAAAGCCAGAACGGGAAAAGGAAAGCCCCTGAACCCTAACTCCACAGGACAGGAGTTACTCAACAGTCTGCCTCTAAACATCAGGGCCCACGTCGAGCTGCCCGCGAACCACACAGATGCAGAAGTGAGGTACCAAACAAGCAGTCGCGTACCTTTCTGTCTTTGTGCCACTGCTGATGCTCCAAAACTATGTTCTTAATATTGTCAAAGAAATCATCCTTTATCAGGCTGAGGGCTTTGTCTGGATTGGACTTATCAGCCGAAATTATATGTTTCATGTTCTGATAATGATCATGAACATTCAGCATTTCCTAAAAGTGAAAAGATGAGTCTTTTATTTCAATTTTTGTGGAGAAACTTAAAGGCAAAACCAATATAAAATAAAATGCCCTTCCAAAGTGACTGAGTTGATAAGGATTAACATGCTACAGCATTTTGAAAATAATATAATCATGCAAACAGAACTTTACAACTTTATTAATGAAGGCTGCTTTCCAGAGGTATGGACTCACTGAATTCAACTTTGCAAACATTAACTAATATACACTGTATGGAGAGACACTGGGGAAAGACCAATTAGTTAACATAGGATTGCATTCCTGGATATAATAAAAATTATTTGTAGTATAACATAATGTTAAATACCACTACTGATAACTAAGATCACATTTTTCTTTCATATTGTCACATCAAAGATATTTACATAGTTCTTTATGCTCCGCTGGAAATTCCTACATAATGACTCTCACCCAATCCTCCAGAGATGTGCTCACTTGCACAAATTTCAAAACCTGTGCGCCTGTCTCCATAAGCTTCATCATTACTTCAGTGATAAGACTCAGGATTAAAAGAAACAGAGGATGATTTATGACACCATTTGAGGTATCATTTATTAATCAGACCTGCCTCCCCCAAACCTCCAGCCAAATGGGCAAGTCTGTGAGGTAAGGAGAAAGCACATTGCACGCAGACTTAAGAAATAAGATAAAACCACTACTGGGACTCGGCTCACAGACCAGCAGAGAACTACTGACCTCTCCATCATAGATGGCCACTGCAACATCTGAGTCATCCCTGAGTTAGGCTACTCAACTGATTTCCAGCAGACTTCGATGGAATCAACAGACATCTACTCAAGGAATCAGAAACTGCTCAGGAGTGATGAGTGCTCACATATGCAGGATCTTCAAAGGGGAACAGTGTCCAGTCATGGGAGCCCCTAACTTTTTAGTTTACAATGTGCTGTACTTCCATTACTTTACAACATGCAATACAACAGGACAGGAGAAAGACCACTAGCTGGACCTGGTTCTGAGTCTGAGTTCTGTCACTTGCTAGATTGTGACCTGGAACAAATCCCTCAATCTGGGAATCACGTTCCACACTTGTACAAAATTAAGTAATGCCACCTAACCCACTGTACAAGTATTAAGTGAGCTTACATAAGTAACAGTGTTCTGTATAAGGTCAAGCACTATGCAAAGTTAAAGGAGTAAGAAATAAAAGAGGGGCCGGCCCCGTGGCTGAGTGGTTGGGTTCACGTGCTTTGCTTCGGCAGCCCAGGGTTTCGCCAGTTCGGATCCTGGGAACAGACATGGCACCGCTCATCAAGCCACGCTGAGGCGCTGTCCTACATGCCACAACTGGAAGGACCCACAACTAAAAAAATATACAGCTATGTACCAGGGGGCTTTGGGGAGAAAAAGGAAAAATCATTAAAAAAAAAAAAGAAATAAAAGAAAGTGCATAGACTGGAGCCTTACAGACTTGAACATTCAAAGCCAAGGTCTGCACCTTATTTTATGCAAATTACTTAACTTCTCTAAGCCTCAGCTTCCTTGTTTTTAAAATTAAAAAAATATCACCTCCTCTGCAGGGTTACTAATGATGATTAGTGAGATATATGTAAAACATCTAATATAGTTCCTGGCATATGTGTAAAACTCAACACACAATGGCCATTATGAAACAGACTCAGAAATGAAATGATTGACTCGAGGTCATATTTAAGTAGCAAAGTTAGAATTAAAAATCAGATGTTTTGATTCAATATCCTATTCTCTTCATTTTATTATCCTCCTTAATCACACAGTGAGAACCAGTGAGTGGCAGAATCATGATCAGAATTCAGGTCTGCTGACATGGAGACTTAACAGCATTTGCAGGCAGTAGAAGGAAAGTAGAAAAGGATTAAATTTCAGGATTATCAGTGAGAAAGGGTCAAAGGCTATGCTAGGACGGGATGAAGAGAGTCAACAGAGGTAATGAAGGAAAAGTCTCTCAAAGCAGATCTGTGGCAAGGCAAAGACCCTACATAAAGTCAGGATGACTTCACGCGGTCTATTCCATTCCTAGAAAACTCCAGGAATAAGCATTTCACAGCCAGCCTTCTGACCCTCCTCTCCAATGACACTTTGACCAGCTCCCCAGCTATGTTCTCTAAAATCTTCCACACCTTTCTGCTGACAAACACAATTTTTGTTTCAACACAGGAGGCTTTAATTCAACACATGGTAGTAAAAGAGCTTAAAAATCAAAAAGCAGGGGCCAGCACCATGGCCGAGTGGTTAAGCTTGCGCGCTCCAATTCAGCAGCCCAGGGCTCACCAGTTTGGATCCTGGGTGTGGACCTACACACTGCTCATCAAGCCATGCTGTGGTGGAATCCCACTAGAAGAACTAGAATGACCTACAAGTAGGATATACAACTATGTACTGGGGCTTTGGGGAGAAAAATTAAAAAATCTTAAAAGAGGAAGACTGGTGACAGATGTTAGCTCAGGGCCAATGTTCCTCACCAAAAAAGCGTACCTTTAAAAAAAAAATCAAAAAGCATGTTTAAGAAGGTATGTTGGAAAAAAATTAACATTCTACCACCATATTGGTCAACAATCAAAAATTATAACTGGATTCCAATCATCTTCTTTCATTGGGAGAACATTGGCGAGAACAGTGTCCTGCTGCTCTAACATCCTCTGCCTCTCCCTTTATGACTCACATCAGTGCTCCTTAGAGCCCTTCTAGTATCCCAAAATCTTTCTTTCTCCACAACGGCTACTCCAAACTTTCTCAATCCTCAGTTCCTTGAACCCCTACAGCCCTCTCAAAATTCAGGCTATCAGGTCTGCTTGCCTTCTATTTCTCTTCCTCACAACAAATTACACAAATCCTTTTCACCTCCTCCTCTCAAGTTTCAGAGGAAGCTGTGTGCCTTCTCCTGCTCAAGGCTCTCTCTCCACCGGGCTCCTGATCACAGACCACCCGACTCCTCCACAGCGGGAACCCTGCTCCCTCTGTTTTACACAACCTCTCCTAACTGGCTCCTTACCCTAAACCTAAATATAGACTTTAAGTCTCTCCGAGCTCTCAAACTTTTAAACGATTCCCTCTACCAAAAAGACAAAATACAAATTCCCTCTATTATACCAAGTTCTCTTATCACATTTATTTCTCTACATATAATCTCTCCTACCTCTTTCTCGCTAAGCTGCTAGAGAGCAAAGATCCAAATTTTTGTTATACTTCACTCGGATGTGTGCTGAATGACAGATTTCTAACCCCAGTCCCAGCTCGGACAAGGCCTTTGCGGTCCAACAGGCACTGCAGCCATACAGAAGATTAGCTCCATCACTTCCTAACTTAGCATCTCTGTACCTTAACTTTATTCACTTATTTTTCTTCTGCTTTTTTTCCCCCCAAACCCTCCCAGTACATAGTTGTATATTTTAGTTATGGGTCCTTCTAGTTGTGGCATGTGGGATGCCGCCTCAGCGTGGCCTGAGAAGTGGTGTCATGTCTGCACCCAGGATCCGAACTGGTGAAACCCTGGGCTGCCGAAGCAAAGCACGCGAACCCAACCACTCAGCCATGGGGCCGGCCCCTACCTCAACTTTAAATCAGGGATTAAAACACCTACTTTTAAAAAAATTAATTAAAAATTGTTTAAGCACCTATTTTGCAGGGATGTTGTGAGGAGTAAAATAATCTACACAAAACATCTTGTATAGCTCCTGCCCTATACTATGTCTTTAGACAGTCAGTATTCAATTTCCTTCTAATGCAGTAATTCTTAACCTTTTGGGGGGTATGAACACCTTTGAGAATCTAAGGATAGTTATGGTACCTCACCCTAACCAAACATCCATATGGATGACACTCAATTTATCATACAGTTTAGGAGGGAAAGGGATCCACGGCCCTCAGAGTAACAATTCTTACTCAAAAATAAAGTCATTTTACAGAGCAGTCCCAGAGTGCTTTCAAAAATCAACTTGATACCTGAATTACAAACATCATAGATGCAACCTGACAGGCTGAAGCTAGTAAAACATGGCAGCACCTAGAACACAGAGAAACATTTGAGCAACTCAAAGCTCTCATCCCTCTTTCACTCTTGATATAGGCAAAGGCTGAATAAGGTTGGGGGGAAAAAAGAAGTAACATTTATTAAGAGCCTGCTCTGTGTCATATGCCACACTCAGCACTATTCAGACATAGTCTGGTTTCAATTCTCACAATTGGAGGAAATCAGGATTCTAATTCTAATATTAAAGAGAGGGAAACTAAGGCTCAAAGAGATTAAAAGACACGACCAAGGCCCCCACCTGCTCACACTCACTTACTCATGCCACTCTCTCCCTCTCTCTGTATGGATCCATTCTTGTGAAATGTGAATGTATCATTGATTAGAAAGCTGTAGCCCTGTAGCGGGGTTTTGTTTTAACCTCAGGGCAATGCTTTTCCATCCACGTAAAACTCTACAAGTGAGTATCACTACTAACCCACATGAAAGATTTTCTCAATACTGCACAACTCAAATAAAATACAAAAATATATTAGACGGTAAAGCTATTTTAAGACTACCGCTTACACATAATTCTTGATTTCAAAATTTTTTTTTATCAGAATAGCCTCATTGTTTTCAATGGGTTTTTAAATAAGTATTGTGAAAAAGGAACTTAGGAAATGAATTCATACTGTTAAAATAATAAAATAAAAATAAAGTCACTTTAAATTCTTGTTTTAAGACCTATCCAAAGTCAAATAGAGGCGCCGGCCCAGTGGCACAGCGGCCTGGGGCTCGCCAGTTTGGATCCTGGGTGCAGAGATGGCACCACTTGGCACACCATGCTGTGGTAGGCATCCCACGTATAAAGTAGAGGAAGATGGGCATGGATGGTAGCTCAGGGCCAGTCTTCCTCAGCGAAAAGAGGAGGATTGGCAGCAGTTAGCTTAGGGCTAATCTTCCTCAAAAAAAAAAAAAAGTCAAATATAAATGGTGGTTTCAGTATTTGAATCTACATATCCTGAGTCCAAGTCTAGTCTTCTATACTTTTCTGTATCTTGCTGTGTTTCAAGATTTATTCCATACATTTTGACATATTTAGGGCGTATGATTTCTGATACTTTAGAGAAAATAATAAGCATTCTATGATTGATTAAAATCATTAGAAAATTTTTCAGTATCCAGTAGATGAAGGTATAACCTCAATATATAGTTAACAGTACAACTTTCTAAAAAAAATTCCAACAGCATAAAAGCAAATTTACCTCTAACACATCAGAAGTGATAAGTTTCATTACACGATCATTTGGGTCCTTAAATTCTTCCGTAACTTCAGCTCGTTGAATTTTTTTCTTCATTCTATATGACAGCTATTATGATAATGAATGTATTTTAAAAGATATTTTTTAAGTACTGAAATAAGTAAGCCAGCAGTAAAAACTGTCTATCAGTAAACATGGATGAAACAAAAGCAGCTCTCCGTATGTATTTATTAAATAATCCATTCTCCAAAGACTATCACTTTTGAAACAACCCTTAAGATGCCATGCCACATGCTTACAAATTCCGATGGGATTCAGAGAAGTCACGTGATTTGCCAGCTGATGGCAGAACCAGAACTAGAACCTAATGCTCTTTCAATGTAGTGTCTCAACTGTCCTAAGACTGAAGAAATACGGTATTTTATCAGTGAAGTTTCGACTTCTCATTAACTGACATTAAAATTCCTTGGTCCTCCTTCAGTAACCTCTCTGAGGTCTGAATAAAGGAATGAGCAAATGCAGATGCCAATCTAATGTCCTCTTCTAACAATTTCCTTAACAGATGGCATCCTGAAACACAGTGCATTTAAAAACAGAGACAGAATTTTTGTCTGCAAAGAAGAAGTAATCATAAAGCACTTTCTCCTATTTTAAGAAGCCTTTCTAAAAGTATTAGAAACTATATAATATTCTGTCTGCTTTATGGAGACTTAGGTACTTTATCAACAATGAAGCATAATATCTCATTTTGAAAAACAATCTATTTTAGATAACATACCAATTTGGGCATTGCTGTAAAGTGAAATGCTTTGTCTAGACGTAGCTTTCTAAAAATATACGCTGCATCAAAATGTTGTGCATTTATCAAATCTTGCTGAAATTTTAAAATTTCATCCCAATCTTTCAGGGCAACTCTAATCTGCAAAGAAGAGGAGTAAGAAAGTTATTAAATGTAAATCTATTTTCACAAATGTATTATAATTTTGAAACACTGGGGTTTCTATTTAAATCAGTTTGTTGTAAAAATATTATACTTGTTTCATATTTCTGCTGGAAGAAAACAAGTATTACCTTTTGTTTTGGTTGACACAGCTGGGTGTTATACAATCCATATAGCAGATACAAAGCACCAACTCTGATCTGGAAGGTGTATGGAGGTAAAAAATATCTCCAAGCCAAAGCTAAAGCTTCTTTTGTAAACGTGTTCTTTTCTAAATTTCTCATTCTACCACTAGAAAACAAAGAGAAAATATATTATGACTCTAGGTAAGTAAGTAACGAACAAAAATTAGAAGAGGTATAATCTAGCAGCTGCTAGAAACTGGATGGGAATTCCACATCTGATCCTGTCATAATTCAAGCACACAGACCTAATTTTCTGCTGTGCTTTACACTGAGGCACAGGCAATATACCAGGTAAACATGACGTACCTTCCCAAAGCATCAACTTCACCTGCTGAACTGGGGAGCAAAAAATGAGGGGTTGCGAATTATTCCTGGTTAAGAGTTTAAAACATTTAATATATTAAAATAACTAGGGTTACATTACAGAGTAAAATACAAAAATTACATGCACTTTAATACATAATGGAGATTTTCCCCAATACTCGCAGGGATTCACACTAAATCTCATTTCTCCTTGCAACACCCAGGTGAAAAAGTTAAGAGAACCACAATACAATGTAACCCACTGGCTCCTCCCAATTCTGCAGGGCAAAGCTCAACAAAGTAGAGGAGGAGCAGGGGAGGAAAGCAGACTCCACTACACTCCCAAAGTCTGGGCTCTTCAAATAATACAAATACTAAAAGAACGCAAAAATACCTACTGTAGTATTGGCAACCAAAGCAATTTCTAAAGAAAAATCCACCACTCCTTAAGCGGGCTCCACTTTTTTTCTCATTTTAGTTTTCCCTCATTAGCTAAAAATTGAGGTAAACTCAGCAAAATGTTCCTGAACTACCACTTTCCTCAAAAGGGATAGAGTGAAAGATCGTGGGTTTTGGAAACAGGCAGACATAGAGGTTGCAATGTCTGCTCTACCACCGACTAGCTGTGTGATCAAGGAGAAATTACTTCACCTCCTTGAGCCTCAATTTCCCCATCTATAAAACAAGGATAATTATACCTGCCTTTCAGAGTTGTTCTATGGATTAAACACATTAAGCTATAAATGCATTACATTTAGTACCCGTTAAAAAATTAGTTCCTCTCCTTTCATTAACTGTATGACAAATAACTCTCAATCATCCATCTCCTACAATGTCCAAACCACACAGGTGATTATTGTACATCAAGAGAGAGAAAAAAGGGAACTTTTGTAGTTTATTCAGCAAAACATAGTTTTAATCACAAGAACTCATTCAGTCAGTCAACATTTTCAATATTATATCTATTATGCTAATAGAATATCAGACTTATCCAGTCGCTGCCCTCACAGAGCACTGTCAAAGAGAGGGAAAATTAAAAATAATAATGAACATTTATTGAGTACTTAGAGTGCATTAAACATATATTAGCTCATTTAATCCTCAGAACTACAATATGTGATTTTATCATTCTATTTTACAGATAAGATCAGGTAAGTAACTTGCCCAAAGACACAGTTAGTGGGCTGACTCAAATTCAGGCAGTTGGGCTCCATAATCTGTGCTCTTAACCACTATACTACACTGCCTCTTGAACTACACACTTACAATAAAATGGGCTAAGTCGAGAGATAAAATAAGCACAGAAAGCTATAAGAAAAAAAGGGCCTGAATGCCTTACTTAGTCTAGAAGGGCACAGGTAGGCTTCCCTGAGGAACTGTCCTCTGAGCTCAAACCTGAGTGAAGAAAAACGTGGCCAGACAAAGGAAGCTGGGGGGAAGCTCCAGGCCGAGGAAACGCCTGTAGAGACCACAGGCAGATGCTGGAGCAAGAGAGCGGGAGCATGGAGACTGGAAGATGAAGCAGCAGAGATGGGCAGAGTCCAGTCACAGAGGGCCTCGCGAGCCCTGTTACGGAATCTGAGCCGTATCCCAAAGGCAAGGGGAACCACTGAAGGGTGGTAAGCAGGGGAGTGAAATGATCAAATGTGCACTTTAGAAAGGTAACTTTGGTTGCTGGATAAAAAAATGAATTCAATCGTGAATGTTTTTTTCTTTGTTTAGGTGCTTTTAAACATGGGGTTCTAGGAAGATAAGACTGGAGGCGGGCAAACGATGGTATCCCAGGTCAGGGTGAGGCAGTGGAGTGGAGAGGAGAGAGAAGGGCGGCCATGCAGAGCACATATTCGGGAGGAGGCCGCAAAAGGATGCAACCGAAGCCACCGACCTCGCCCAGGGAAAGCGCGCGGCCCAGGCGCAGGTGCAGGCCCCGGGGCCAGGGAGGCGGCGCCAGAGCCCAGCGCTTTTCTCAGCCCCTCCCCGGGGCGGCGACGCCGACGGGAAGGAAGCAACTTCCCACGCCGCCTCTGAGCGGGAGAGGGGCGGGGAGCAGACGAGAACACCCACCAGAAGATGGTCGCGAACTTCATGCTCCTCCAGAGCTCCGTGAAGTCCTCGAAGCGCACGCTGTCCGTCTCCTGGAAGCGGCTGAGCAGCGCCTCGCAGTCGGCCTGGAGGCCCGGAGGAGCGCCCATGCCCGCGAGCCCGCACACGGCTTCAGGACCAGCAGCGGCGTCGCCGAGGAAACCAGCCCCGACGCCCCGCCCCCTGCGGCGTGACGCAACGCGCTCGGTGACGTGTTATCCGGCCTCTTCCGCTCCGCCTCCAGCCGGGGCCACGCGCTCTGCGTGATGCTTCCTGCGCGTGCGTGGAGCCGTGCTGCTTTAGCGGTTCTCTTCTTTACTTAGAGGATTAAGATCAGCACTTTTAATTTCGTTGAAGAGGTTTACGTCTCAGGTGTCTTGTGAGCCCAAGAAGGATTTTAGGTCTACATTAGGCTAGCTTATGGGTTTATCCTTACTATCGCTCTCCTTTAAGTGATCGTGGAGTGACAGAGGTCAACTTTTATAGCTAGGGAGGAACAGTTCCCAGCCTCATCCCACCCCCACGGAGAAGGAGAATCTAAAAAAGGGGATTTACTACAAGTGGACTGGACTCATTCGCTTTTAGTCTATACCCACGTGATATGGTGCCTCATGTTCGGCTCTCTAGCTGTAGCGCTAGCAGTCTTCTGTAGCCACTCTTGACGAGCTCTTGTGAACATCTGCCCAGCAGCGCCCGCACACCCCTACGCTACAATCTAGCACCGTACTTAGCAAGTATATACTTTGTATATATAAATATGGGATGAATTGGCCTTCTGTGTACACTCCATCGCCTGGTGTCTCCCAGGAGCTAGCTATGGAGTAGTATTTTGTGCTTTTCACGATTTCTCTGATTGCGGGGCATGCTATTTTTATTCTTTAGGCGAGAGATCCTAATTTAGTAGAAAAGCATTGGGCTTTCCGTCTGTAGATGGAGATTCTACTCACTTAACTTTCCTGATCGTTGATCAATTTTTTTTAATCTTGTGTAATATTTTATATATACAAGGAAACTTAGGTAACATGTGAGTAAGAAGCATGGCGGTAAAATGAATATCTGTGTAGGAACTAGAACATTACCAACACCGTCCTATCAATCTGTGAATTCCTCCTCTAACCTATTCCCCTGCCTCTACCACTACCTTAGTAACAACTACCTTACTTTGTTTCTCATTCTCTTGTAAATATTTTATCACGTGTGTGTGGATCGCTAGACTATATTGTTTAGTTGTGGTCGGTTTTGAGTTTTATGAAGATAGTTATAAAATGCCATTTCTGATATATATTCTTTGAATTGCTTTTTAAAGTTAATGGTTCTAAGATTCACTTTTCTTACTCATAGCTGTAGTTCGTTTATTTTCACTGCTGCCTAGTATTCCATTGTGTGAATATACAGTTTATCTATTATTTTCTCAATGCAAATTTAGGTGGGTTCCAGATTTTGCTGTTGTAAACAAGGCTACTATGAACACTTTGGTACATGCCTCCTGTTATTTGTAGGATTACTGGAAAAAATACATAAGGCAAAATTAAATTTAAGTTTCAGATCAATTAAAAAAATTTTAATTGTTTATCTTAAATACAGTTTAACTGGGCATCTTTTATTTTTGTTGGCTAAATTTGGCAGTTCTACTTATGTGTTGCAGTAGTCTAGAGTACATATGCCTATGAGTGGAATTGTTGGATGATAATGGGTGCAAATGTAAAACATTGCAAGATAATACCAAATTGTTCTCTAGAGTGGTTGAACTGATTTACGCTTCACTATCAGTGTATGAAAGTTCCCAATTCAGCCACATTATCTCAGAAACTTAGTATCTAGTTGTGTTCTTAATATGCATTTCTCTGATTACTAATGTGATTGTGTACCTTCTCAAATTCTAATTTTGTATTCTTAGTTCCTCTACTGTGAAATTCCTGTTTATATATTTGTACGTTTTTGAGTTGTTTGCCTTTTTCATACTGATTTGTAGGATCACTTTATATGTTCTGAATGTGCGTTATATGTATTACAAATATCTATTTCCAGTTCGTGACTTGTTCTCATTTGCTATCTTTATGGTGATTTTTGATGTACATAAATTCTTATTTTTACTGTGCTCAATTTTTTAATCTTTTGGCCATAAATATTTTATTTTGCCCCCTGACTTCTGCTTGTATGCAAACTCTTTTTCACCTCTCCATCACACAAAAGTACAGAAACTGAGAATAAGTGTTTGCAAACTATTAGTAGCATTTTGATAAAGTAATTTTATGTTGTTAAATCTAATAATTTTAAAAAATGGGTTTGGTATGAGCTTTTAAATTTCAATTTTCTGGTAATTTATATTTATTGTAGTTTACAAAACTATTGGTCCACAATAGACTGGGGAGAAATAGTCCATTACCACAGATAATTTGAGAATCACCGGTGTACACTATTTTAGTCCATATTCTATTGGCCAGAACTCAGTCACATGGCCCCATACAAGTGCAAAGAGACCTGGGAAATGTAGTCCCTAACTGGGCACCTTTTCCCAACAACTACAATCTGTGGAAGAGGTACCCAGTCTGTGTGCCAACATCACTGCCAACATCGCTGCTACAATTTTATTCCGAAACTCTCAAAATACTGCTCTTTACTTTTAACCCACTGTAATCCATCTAAAAATGATTTTCATTATGGTATGAGTTGAGGATCCCATTTAACTTTTTTCCATAGGTGTAACCATATATATGTATGCATACATATGTGTTTTCCATATGTATAATTTTACAGCATCTGTGATTGAATAGTCCATCCTTTTCCCAATGATCTAAAAAGTCACTGTCACGTATCAAGTGTGCAGGACTAACTGAAGCTAATATACAACTGTATGGTTCTGTCCCTGTTGCTAACATACCAAGATAATGTCATTACTGTTAGTATATAGTCACTGCCCTGAGCCTCCTGATTACCCTCAGCCCCACCATTTGGGCCACCCTGGTCCCTCCCTGGAACCCCCTAACCTCCCCTCAGTCCAAAAGTGAAATCGTTAAACCTAGGACAGGAGGAAGCTTCCAGTACCCATTCCAGCTTCCTTCTGTTTCTGGGGTTATTCTTTCCTTCCAAAGGTCAATTTAGATGTCCCTAGACTAATACAATCCTCTACTACAGCTTTTTAAAACATCTTGTCTAAGAAGGAGATTTAAAAACATCTCTAATCTAGGAAGAAAGAAAAATCTTATCTAAGGATCGTGTCTTCTTCTTCAGGAGTATCTTGACTATTCTTGGGCTTTTGCTTTTTCATGTAAATTTTAAATTCAATTTCTCTACTAGTGCCAGTGAGATTTTGATTGAATTGCATTAAATCTGTAAGTCAATTTGGGAAGGAATAACATCTTTATCATATTCAGTGTCCCTATCCCATAAACATTTAAGTAATCTTTAGCATTGTTAGTAAAGTTTTATAATTTTTCTTCATGAACTTTTCACATCTTTTGTTGGATTTATTGCTACATACCTTATGTTTTTCTGTGGCTATTGTATTTGGTATCTTTTAGTCCCTTACATTTTCTACTTGCTTGATTCCAATAAATAAAACTGCAATTGAATTTTATATTGATCTAATATCCAGTCCCCTTGTTAAACTCGCGTTACTTATAATTGTTCGTCTATAGATTCTTTTAGGGGTTTTTCTTTTTTTTTGAGGAAGATTAGTCCTGAGCTAACATCTGCTGCCAATGCTCCTCTTTTTGCTGAGGAAGACTGGCCCTGAGCTAACATCCATGCCCACCTTCCTCTACTTTATATGTGGGACGCCAGCCACAGCATGGCTGGCCAAGCGGTGCCATGTCCGCACCTGGGATCTGAACCAGCAAACCCCGGGCCACCGAAGCAGGATGTGCGAACTTAACCACTGTGCCACTGGGCCGGCCCCTCTTTTAGGTTTTCTATGTAGCTGATATCAGCAGCTATGAATAATGATAGTTTGCTTTTTCCTTTATAATCCTTATTCCTTTTATTTATTTTCTCCTCTTATTTCATTTCCCTGGCCAAGACCTCCTACACTGTGTTAAGGTATAAACGAAGGAGCATGAGTGTGTGTCTGTTCACTCCTAGACCACTGGCACCTAAAGGTGCTTGGTACACAGTAGATGCTCAATGAAAAGTCTAGTGACTTTTTCATTTCAGTTACTTTACTTTTCAACTCTAGAATTTCTATCTGGCTCCTTATTAATAATTTCTATCTGTTTATATTCTGTATTTGATCAGCCAAGGCCACCATAGAGTTTTTCACATCTTTAAGCGTGGTTTCCTTTGGTTCACTAACATTTTTAATGGCGGCTTTAAGTCTTTAGGTCTGTTTAGTTGGCCAGCTGGATGGTCTGATATGTAATTTCTGTTGCCTGCTTTTTGCCTGTTTATGGATCAAACTTTCCTGTTAATTTTCATATCTCATAATTTTTTTGTTGAAAAGTGGACATTTTAGATAATTTATTGCAGCAATATTGGACACTGATTGCTCCCCTGGGGCTCGTTGCTTTTGTTGTTTACTTGTTTGTTTGTTTAGTGACCTGGCTGGACTATTTTAGTGAAGTCGACTTCCCCCAGAATGTGCAGCCTGTTACGGAGCTCCTTGGAGGCTAGGCACCCGTCCCCCTGGGATGACAGTGGTTGTAGTGGGGCTCTCTTTGGTTCTCTCTTTCCCTGACCTCTCTGTTAAACTGTCTGGCTCCTTTGGTATCACGCCCAGCTATTAGGCTCCACTAATCGCTGGCTAATTGCTTTATAGTTTTTGACGACGTCCTGGGGCATGCGTGGCTCCACAGTCTAGGATCCTTTGCAGAGGTAGTCTTTGAGTCCAGTCTTGAGGTTCGTTCTCATCCCAAGAGGCCTCTTAGTTATCTCTTTCCCTGGCTCTGGCTGGTAACTAGCTGGCCTTCAGTTTAGCTTCTTGCTGTCACGGAGCTACCAGCCTCCTCTTAATTACTTACCACCAAAATATCCATTGTTTTCAAAAGCACCTTTAGATTAGAATTTTCTCACACTCATGCAAATAAAGTCAGTTCCTCTGGGGACAGCTTCAGAGTTCTCTGTTCTAATGGACTTTCTCCCCCCGTGAGAAAAAGCTCTGAGCCACCGCTCTGGAGCTGGGATGGGGACAGTGGTCCCATCTCAGAGTGATACTACTGCTATAGGAGCCGGGCTCTGGGAGGGAGCAGTAGCTTTTTTCTTCTCAGACTGCCTCTCCTGCCAGGGAACTCCCATCTGACGTGGGAGCTGGGGTGAGGGTGATTGGGGTCCCAGCACTCTTGATCTGCCACACCTGGGGTAGAGCCTCTCTCCCATGAAGAATGTCTGAAAGAAAGAAAGGAGCTCCCAATCTCCAGGCCATACTTCCTTGGAATTAGCCTTTGCAGCGTGAAGCTAAGGAGGATGAGAAATGCTGGCAGCCTGGCATCTGGGGGTAGAGGCACTCCATCTTCTTGGCCATGCCCATGGAGTGGAGGTTTCATCGTACTGAGCAGGGTGAGGGAGCCAGTGGATCATGGCTCAAGAGCCACTGACTCTTGCTGTTCTTACCAAGATTCAGTAGATTTTCTTGAATAAATGTTTCTTTATCTGCTAATTCCCTTCAGACAATTTCAAAAAGCTTTAAATGGTTATTTAAAAAATTTTTGCCTGGTGTTGTTTTTATAGTTGTTTCACTGTGGAGAAAGTCCATAGACTTGCTGCCATTTTCCTGGGGATGCATTTAAAGGCGTAACTCCTGTCCTCAAGTTGCTCACCATCGAATGTGGAACTCACCCTGAGTAGATCATTTTACCTTTAGTGTGATAAATACTATGGAAGAGTAAGCACAATGCAACCTGAGAACACCGAGGAGAAAATCCTAACCCAGTCCCTGGGAGGATAAGCTTCCTCAACCAGAACTGAGTTGTGAAAAGTGAGGAAAGAACTAAGGAGAGGAAGATGAGCCAGGAAGAGTGCTGCAGACACAGAAAAAAGCAAGTGCAGAGGCATAAAGTGGCATAAAGAGAGCAAGTTAGGAGGTTACTTCACCGGAACACGGATGCAAGGGACAGAAGTTGCAGAATATGGAAAAATAGGCAGCAGATCCCGTGCTTTGCGCTGGGAAATCTTCTCCCTGGATTTCTCAGTGTTCCAGCACGGTCTAGATCTTCGGAGAGGACGCCCGAATATCAGTCCTAAAGACAGAAAACTCTAAGGAGGTTTAGGACTTATCTCGCCTGGAACCACTGGCTGACATTCCAGGCTGGTAAAGGAAAGATGAAGACCTCCCCCCTCCTTCCTTCCCAGAGCAATGTTCTGTGGGGAGGAGGGGCAGATGAACCAGCCACTATACATAAGCTCCAACTGTCACAACGTGGGGGCTCCTCCCCTGTGGTACGAACCCTGCTGCACATACAGTGAACATTTGGCTCTCATTGTGCAGTCCACGGAGAAATGGGGCATGAGGAAGCAGCGTTAATATGCTCTGTGAATAATAAATAGCCTGTTCTCTGGCCCAGAGGTCTGCTGTTTCCGTCAGTTTATATATGTAAAAATGTCAAACCCCTCAGTTTTGGACTGAACACCAAATATAAAAGCATTTGAACTCTTGTCTGAAGACAATCAATAGCTGCTAATTTTTAAAAGTTTTTCTTTGTTAACAAAAGTAATCATAATCCCTATAAAATACTATAAAGATACAGAAGTGTATTATGTAGGAGGTAAGAGTCTTCTGGCACGCCACCTCCCAAGGGCAATTATTGTTTACATTCATTGTACTATCCCAATGAGGGAATTTTAAATATGGAAATCAGTCATAGCTTTGTTGTAGAAAGGTCACTTTGGCACGAGCGCAGCAAGGCTGGGATTGGGCAGATGAGAGGGTGAGAGGAGGAAAGGCAGGTGAGAATTGATGCGGCAGGCGCAGTGGACGTGTCGGGAAGCGGGGAACTGAAGATCTAGACACAAAAACCAAGACTTTGGGTCACTACTTTGATGATACTAAAGCATTAAGTTTTTAGGTGTGATAATAGTATTGTGGTTATGTCAAGACAAAGAATATAATTTTTAGAGCTACATAGTGAATTATTTACAAACGAAATCATACGTCTGGAATTTGCTTCAAAATAATGGAGTGGGGGAGGGGTGGGTAAAGGTATGAAAAAGCCACGAGCGACAGCTGCTCATGCTGCTCCTGTGGTTGATGCTGTGCTGAGACACTGGATATCTCAGGCATGAGACATCCTTCCGGCTGCTGGGAGAGCAGCAGCTGATGGTCCTCAGCTGTCAGTCCTCTGTGAGGACCGTCTTGGCTGAAACAAACTACCCCTATAAAGGTCACAACTTTTTCTGGGGGTAGCCCACATCCAATGCCTGACCAGGGTAGGGGTGTAAAGGTCCCCGCCCTCCCTGTAACTGGGGACAACTCTCAAGGTCTATCTCACGACCAGAGCTCCCCATGTGGCTGCTGAAGGCCTCTGCTGGGACTGCATCTTGGCTTGATTTCTCCCCCTGCCCACTTCTGCTCTTTCGCTTCCATGTGTGTTGGTCCTTAAAGCACTCCCTAACAAATGACCTGCCATCTCCATCTCACTCTACTTCCTGAGGCCCCCAAACTGCAAAGACACTTGGGCATCATTATATTATTCTCTTTATTCTTGCACAGGTTCAAAATTTTCCGTAATGAAAATTTAAGGGAAGAAAAGACTAAGTCAGACTGGACATGGTGGATAAGGGTGTGACAAGTGACCTCCAGACCTCTGGTTTTGGAGACTGAGTGGTGCCATTCACCGAGCAGGGGATGGAGGAGGAGAAGCCATGTGGAGGACGCGTGAGGAGTTAGTTTTTGAGAGGTCAAATTTAAGGTGCTTGTGGGGAGCAGTCTAGCGTGGATACAGATTTTCAAGCTAGACATAACTCATGAAAAGGAAAGGTAATGGTGACTTAGAACATCCTAAATGGCCAATAAAAATTGTATTTAGCCTTCAATTGTGTTTGCACAATTACAGTTGAATGTGTGAGTATCTCACAGAATGGGAATCAACCACACGCTCAACGACAAGTAAACATTCCAGCACATTTATATCACCCACAGGTCTTAGAATAACATTGTCTTAGTCCATTCAAGCTGCTTTAACAAAATACCATAAACTGGGTAGCTTATAAACAACACATATTTATTCTTCACAGTCTGTAAATCCAAGATGAGAGTGATAGTATGGTTGGGTTCTAGTGACAGTCTGGTTCTAGACTGCAGACTTCTTGTTGTATTGTCACATGGCCAAAGGGACAACTGAGCTCTCTGGAACCTCTTTATAAGGGCACGAAGGGCTGGCCCTGGGGCATAGTGGTTAAGTTTGGCATGCTCCACTTGGGTGGACCAAGTTCATGGGTTTGGATCCTGGGTGTAGACCTACACCACTCGACAGCCATGCTGTGGCAGCAACCCACATATAAAATAGAGGAAGACTGGCACAGATGTTAGCTCAACGATAATCTTCCTCAAGCTAAAAGAGGACAACTGGCAACAGATGTTAGCTCTGGGCTAGTCTTCCTCACCAAAAAAAAAAAAAAAAAAAAAAAAAAGGAGGAAGATTGGCAACAGATGCCAGCTCAGAGTGACTCTTCCTCAGCAAAAAAAAAGGCACAAATCCCAGTCATGAGGACTCAACCCTCATGACCTATTCACCTCCCAAAGGACCCATCTCCTAATACTATCATCTTGGAGGTTAGGTTTCAACATATGATTTTGGGGGGAACACAAACATTCAGACCATAGCAAACATCTTGGACTCACTCAACCCTCAGTAGTTGTTCACTGAATGAACAGATTTCACTGGAAGAGCTAGAAAATGGTCCTGTTTCCCTCATTCCGTTCCTCTGATCCTAATTCTTCCCTGGTCCCATGTTGTACAAGATCCTCTCCCAGCTTTAATCCTAAGAGTTGTCCTTGTGCAAACAGAGTTGAAAGTTTTAGGAAGAATCAAAGATGAACCAGGTGGGAACCGTGCTCTGAAGGAACTGAGTTTTGTAGGGGAGATAAGACATGCATAAATGATCATGGAAGGTAAAAAATGAGAAGAAGCAAGCTATAGGTGAAGTGACATGGAAGTTCACCGGGTGGCACATATTTGCAGATAAAATCACCCAGGAAGAGGCACAGTACCCATCCAGGCCGTGCTGGCCCCTCTCTGATTTGCCGTGTGAGTAGCTCAGTTTGGTTGGGTTTTGTTTTAAATATTCTATCAGCAGACTGGGGAGTCCGGCAACAGTTTATGACGCTTACCCCACAGCTTGAATTGTTCAGTGCTCCTGTTAAATAATTTGCCACAGCAGTTGTGTGTAAAACCATTAAAAAAAGAGATCCATTTCAAAGAGCAAATAGTATTATCCAAAAATATTTGGAAAGGATCTCTACATAAAATAGTCTTTCTTAATGTTTTACTATTTCAAAGATCTCTAGAAAATAGATTTGAGAAGAGTCTAATCTACTTGTCAAGCTATGTATGATGTTTCTCAACTTTTTAAAATGCAGTACTCTTTTTGATAAACATTACGGCCCCCCTCTTACCCCCACCGCCTGTTCTCTTCTCTGGAGAATCACCAGTTTATAATTATTATATCCATAGGACCAAAAGAGTTGTAGCACTCTCCTTAAATGTTAAATACAAACACACACAATGATTGAGGCTACAGATCAGTTTCTCTTAGTAAAAAGTATTTAAAACACCTCAACCACTTTTTAAAAATGGACCCTTACTTTCCAGGAAATTCTTTCGAAAAACCATGAACAATGAATTTTCCTGAAGCAACAATTTAAAATAAAATGTAAAATGCACTCAGCTGTGGATACACAGAGGCGAGATTATTCTAAACAAACCTGTCTTTCTACTTTACAACAAACTGCCCAATCATAACATACTAATTCGTTGGTGGTGGTGCCATTGATCAGTGACTCCCAGCGACCCTGTGTACAGCGGAGCCGAGCCCTACCGCGTCTTCTGTGCCATCCTCTCATCCAGGAGGGCTGTCAGAGACAATGCTCCACTATTTATAGGGTTTTTGTGGCCAATCTTTTCGGAATTGGGTGGCCTCGTGCTTCTTCCTAGTCTGTCTTAGTCCGGTCTCCGCCGATACCTGTTATCCAGGATGACCCTGCTGGAATTGGAAACACCGGAGGCACAGCTTTCAGCATCCCAGTAAGACGCAGCCACCGGAGTATGACAGTCACCACAGGAACCCACTAATTACAAGAGATTAAATTTAAGGCCACAAGCTTTTCCCTATTCGGTAAACTCACCTCCCTCCTGTCCAACAAGATTATCTTCTCCCAAAGGATTCTCAACAGCTAGCCTCGATAACGTGCAGGCACACAACAAATTCAAAAGACACGGCAAGCAAAAAACGAAGCAAAGGAAAACACAAAAAACACCTGGGGCAGCTAAAGTTTCGGGCTACTCATTCAGGGATCTCTCAGGGTGCTTCACTTCAGTCTCTGAGTGCCTTCCGAGGAATAGATTTAAATAGACAACTCTATTTGTGACCGATCAGTAGACGACTGCTTTTTTAAAAACTGCTACATCGTTACCCACGGTCCAATCTGTTAGGAGACCTCGCTATTCTTCTATTCTACAAAGCACAGCAACACCCCAAGCCTCACGCCCTCGTCGCGCCCCACCGAGCAAACGAGGCAGGGGCCGCGCGGGCAGCAGGCCGGCCGCGGCCGAGACAAAGGGCAGCGCGGGCCGGGCGCCCCGCCCGGGCGGCAGCACGCGCCCACATGCGCCCTCACACGTACGCGGGAGGCGCGAGCAGCCGCCCCGAGCGCACACAGCGACCCGCGTCCGCCCCAGTCCCCTAGCCGCCCGGCCGCGGGCGGGGGCGGCGCTGCGATGCTGCGCCCCAGCACGTACCGGGGCGGGGCCAGCAGCGGGCGGGCGGGGCCTGGGGAAGTTTCTCCGGGAGGTTCAGGTTTCGCATCCTCATCATGTAGCACCAGCCGCTCTGAGGATAGGAGGGGTGCCTGGTCCCTTCTGCATCCTGGGCATTTTCTCGGCTGAGGGTCTGATCGCTGCCGCTCTCAGGCACCTGCCTTTCCTCTCCATCCCGGAATGGAGCCAAGACAAGGGAATAAAGGAAATAAAATAATACAAGGAGATCGGGTGTCTGGGCAGCGTCTTGGATAAAACGGTCCACTACAGGTAAGAATAAAAATTATGCCCAAGTCTCTGAAAGGTGTGAACACAACAAAGCTCCAGAAGGCGTTCATAGGAGGGTGTGTGGTGAGGTGTAGTTTTTATCTTACAGGGAGACTATTTCGTATCAAATTCTACAGATTGAACTAATTCTCTGTAAAATGATCTGGGACAACAGGTTCAGCGCTATTTAAAGGGATGAAATGAAATATAAGCAAACTGGTTAGTGGCAGACTTCAGAAAACACTCGAGTAAAAGATTTTTTTCTTTACACTTTTGTTGGTTCCAGCTAGCAACATGTTCGCAAAGGTTCCATTTAATCAA